ATGAACAATGATTTGTAGTCCAACTATCAAATCAAAAAATCCTCTCAAACCTTTTGATAAGGGTGGCGCCAATTGTTCAAGACCTGGATTCAGCCCTTAAGAGAACAACCTCTATACTATCCCAAAATTGGGTAGAAGTGAATTCCTTCTTGCACCCTATGTCCCTAGCTATCTACCGGGTCTTACCCCTGAAATGGGAGGCTTATTGAGCCAGCGCTGTTGAGCTGCTCTCACCCATGCATATCTAAGGATAATCCCGAGTAAACAGAAGTTCATAGTTAGCTCAGGATTAAGATCGAGTTACCTAGGCCATCAAAGTTGAGATAGTCAGTTTCAAACAGTAAACGGTGTTATAAAGTAAAAGTGACTATCTCATGGTTCGGTCTTATGCAAACTCTTTGCACAGGACACCCCCACTCGCATGTCTTCACATGAACGAATTAGGATCACATCGTTTGTACTAGCTACAAAGTGGGCCGCATCCATAATGTCCCCAGAATAAGGCGCCCAACCTTATTCCTATACTATAGACCATTTAGACTGTTAACTCAAACTTGATCCATATTTATGTCTCTTACATAGAGTTTGAGTCTGAGGTAACAGTCTAGGATCCTTTATTTTATTGGATTTAGATATAGTAAGAACATTTTATTGGATCAATAACTACTTATTGATTAAAACCTTCAATAACAACTTTATTGAATGATAAAAATATATCTGTCATTTTCAAACTATGAGTTTTAGGACATAAAACCCAACAGGTGGGATAAATAATTAAACAATTAATTTAATTAGTAATTAATATAATTACTTATTAAAAAATAGTAATTAATTAATAACATATATTTAAATCAAATTCAAATATATTTCTCTCAAAACCTATAGTTTTAATGTGTATCTCATACACATTAATTTTAACTTATAGTTTTAATATGAATCTAATTCATATTAAATTTTATTTGAATCTTATTCAAATAATTCTCTCATAACAATATAGTATAATTTTGAATCCAATTCAAAATTAATTTTATATCATAATTTATCAACATGCATTATATTAATTGCATCTCATACAATTAACTTTAATTCCTTTTAATAAATTTGAACAATTCAAATTCTTTCCAAGACTAAATGTTTTTAACTATCCTTTACGAGCTACTAGGGGACCTAATGGACGTACAGATTGGAAGCTCAAACAATACGAGATTAATTGATTAAACTCATTAATCAACATTTGTTAACTGTGGATCACTCCACTAAAGATGCACACTTACACTCTTCTCATTGTAGAATATTTTGTGTCCATGGATGTTGACTATTAACAACAAGTTAATACTTCACCAGCCTTCGTAACTATAGCTGGGTCAAATTATTGTTTTACCCCTGAGTTACCTCTTTCACCTTAAGTACCACTGATCCTCTAATGAACAAAATGTTTATGGTCCAACCATTAAACAGAAGTCTCTCTCAAGCCAGTGAGAGGGTGAGACCCCTTGTTCAATTCTCGAAGTCAGCAGTTAAGAGAACACACATCTACTCATCCTAAAGTCGGGAATGAGTGAATTCCATCTTGTGCCATTATATTCCCAGCTCACCACTTGGTCTCATCACAAAAATAGTAGGAATATGGAGTTGGCGAATCGGGTCACTCTTATCCATACAAATTAAAGGATGATCCCTTATAAGTAGGAGTCCATAACTCACTCGGGATTATTGAGATTAAGTTACTTGGTCTTCCTATATGAAATAATAATCTTTTAGTTAACGATGTTTCAACTAAAGATTGATTATTTCGCAGTCTGGTCTTATACAAACTCATTACATAGGATACCCTCACTCGCATGCCTCCACATGAACGATTTGGATTAAGTCGTTTGTAACGATTACAAAGTAGGTGGTATCCATAGTGTTACTAGGATAAGATACCCAACATTACTCATATTATAACGCCCCAGGATTTTCAACATTCCAACTAGGACCATTACTAAAAGCCACCTAAAAAGTCTCACTCGTACTAGAGAATTAAACCACTAGAAATACAAACTATGACAAACTCTCACCACGCTTCCGCTGCGCAACTCTGAATAATAACACTTACAAAAACTTGCAATAAACAAACCAAACACCACTAAAGTTCTAACAAAACTCAAATTCTTCACAGTTAATAATTTAATAACAATCTAACCTTATAAAACTTCTCAATGAAATCTTCACTAATCATAAACCATACACTACACGAATCTAACTTTCACAAATTGCAGCGAAGCAAAAGTTAACTCAAGTTCAACTTGAACAAATGTATTATACTGATAAATATCCTCCACAAATTACAACACCACAATGCAAGTAGCTAAACAAAATTAACGTTCTCAAGAATAACGAACTGTCAATCCTAAAACATCCCTTAAATAAGGAACTTAAAAAAACAAGTTATTAATCTAATAACAGACTCAAGCTACAAATAAACAACTATAACTATCCTATTCAAATCAAAACTTAACATCGCAGTGTTAAATCGTATCTCCAGTCAAGTCTCCTCCTCGCCATCACCATTCCAAGAGTTAGCTTGATACCTGCAAAACTGGAAAAAGAGAGGGATGAGTACAACCACGGTACCCAATGAGCAGCTCTTATTTGAAAGGTCACGCACAAACAACATGCTTATCAAGGAAAGAACGTGTCATTCTTTTCAAACAATCAACACATCATGCTTATCATTATTCTCAAACCTTAAATGAAAGAAACAAATTACAATAAACAGTGTAGCATAAGTTTAACTAAACATGTACCATGCATGTTAAACTCATCCTCACATCTTAACTCACTATTTCTCTTTCTTGAATCCTTCAAGACTTACTCCTTCGAGTCGTACCGACCCCTGACCTCGCGTAGCTAAGGCATCGACACTTCTATAGGGTGCTCGGTGTTGGACCTTGACATTAATCCCTAAGGCCTCAACTCCTACTCAACGTATTGGTCATTGGCCTCCAATCAACTTCTAACCAATCACATTATGTTAGTCTCCAAGTCTAACTCCTCGAATCGTATCGGCCCTTGCCATTTATCCCCAAGGCCTTGACTGTGCATTACATTATGTTAGTTCTCCAAGTCTAACTCCTCGAATCGTATCAGCCCTTGCTATTTATCCCAAGGCGTGACACTCATCTACAGAAGCATGGCATTCGACCTTACCATTTATCCCCAAGGCTTTGAACTATGCATCGACCCTTGACATTTATCTCCAAGGTATCGACGACTACTCAACGTATTGGTCCTTGATCGCCACCACATCAAGACCCAATACTAATTCAACAATTAGAATCATCGACCTTTGTACCTGGAGCCTCGACACTAATTTCTACCAAGTTGGGGTATCAATCCCCGACCTTTGTACTTGGAGCCTCGATACCCAACTAGTGACGTGCCAGCCCTCTAGCTCTGTTAGTCTTCCATTCACTTCATAACATCTCGGAACTCTTACCAGAATCCTACATGCCTCTAAGCCATGACCCATGCTTAAATTATCTCACAACAATGCAGCATGCTTTATACACGGACATATGCAACTATCATTCAGGCATGGTCATCAAGCATCACAATAATAAATTTCTCTTAACATTTAGCATGCTTTGAATTCAGAAAAGGAAGCCAACAAATATCTTATCAAACAAGTTCTCAATAGTTCATTTTCAAATACGAGTCTCATAAAAAGTCAGCATGCTCCAAACACAACAAATCATAGAACCAAAACATTTAACACAACTCTCTCATTCAGCCCAACCAGAACATAACATCGAACCACAACTTAACCAAAATATAATCAACAAATACCCAGCATACTTCAAACACAACCGAGTTCTCACAAATATCCAATATGCTTTCAAAACAATAAATTATAATACCAGTATACAATTTTCATCATGCAACCCAATTAGAACGTAACAACAAATCAAACATAGCCATCCAAGGTTACATGATTGGAATTTATTCACACAATCACGTTTTTTTTCCTAGGACATATCAACAGTTATATGAACAATGATGTTTACTAAATGATAACAACGACAATCAATCATGCAAATATCACACATAGACACACTACCAAACAACCATATCATATCAGCACACAACAACCAATCCCTTCAAGTAAGAAACTAC